GTCTTTTTAGTCTATACCAATCAAATTGCATGCACGTTATTCCACAAATAGCTTTTTTTAGAAATATTGTTTTGAAGTATAAAATTATCTAAAAAAAATATTAGATTTTTATTAATGGCAAAGTTTTATTTATTTTTTATTATTATTAGCTTTTAGTGTGACTATAAATGACAAAGTTTTAAAATTAAAATGTTGAACAAGTTAGTAAAGTTACGTATATATTATATGACATATCGACTATATGCAGTACCTATATAGAACACCATATACAATGAATTAATATTGTTATATGATGTACAAGTGAAAATATTATTAAGTAAATAGTAATTTTTAATTTTTAATTGTTTACAAATGTAAATGTATAAAATATATATGATATTCCTATTATTAAAAATTATATTTTTAAGCCAAAATAATAACTCCTGTCCTCTCACGAGTTCTTTTAAGTGGAGCCTAATTATATTTTGATATCAAATTAAGTTTTAAAAAATAATTAAATAAATATAAGACTTACCGGAGGTGACGGAAGCGAACAGCACGCAGAAGAAGCCGATTTTGTAGACCATAACCACGGYGGACTTGCTGGTCTGAGTCATATTAATAATATTGTAATATAGGTACTATAATATGCTATGAGATACTTTTCGTCTAAAATTCACTACGGTCGCTTTGGATCGGAATTTTATAACTCTTTTGGAGAACAAGATAAACCGTTCTTCTTGGGTGACTCGGACTAACCAATTTATGTGACAGTATAATATAAATTATTCCGGCGACGGTATAATAATCAAAATATATCGTTGACGACAAATAATGATTATATCATAATACCTAAGTCACTGTCAGTGCAGTGAGTGTAGTATTGAATACGCGAGTGACAGCTGCGGCGCGGGATGAACCGTTTATACCTAACAGCGTGTCGATGCTAACGTAGCACGTGTGTGTGAGATGGTGGGGAGGAAAACTAGTGTTTAGATAAATCATTGAATCACTATTATAATATAGTTCAATGCAGGCATTAATGATTGTAATTTACAGAAGCTACCAATATAGAATGTGACACCTGCAGTAATTTACACCCTACCCTTCTCGCAAGAGCATATAATATAATTCTGCAGTCACATGAGTGATATATTATAATAATATGCTTGGTATACCCGTCTGTAGTCCACTTAGATATCTAGTATAGCCAGTATACAGCAGAGTAGGTTCACGAGTTCCCCGATTTCTTTTCCCTTTAAGTATATCCAAGGCTGAGTTTTTGAAATCTTTTTAATCTTATTATTGACTATCAATGAAAATTGTTGTTAATGCCATTAATGGAGAGGGGTGTGACCGAGGTGACATAAAAATTTTACCAACGGCATCAAAGCTCTAAATACGTATCTGCCTTTAGTAATTTGCGTTATGGTAGGAGGAGATTACTCTATAATKTATGTTTGATATTATAATATCAACCTATAATTATTATAAATTTATTTTAGTCAATGAGGACTGTAGATAATTATGATAGAAATGATATTTGATAATAGAAAACTTAAAACGTAAATTTATAAATTTAAGCATCGACTCATTTCTTTGTTTTAATTTCAAATATGTGCAAAACCGATAGAATAAAATAAAAATAAACTATATTTTTTTTTTTAAGTAGTTAACTTTAGAATTTTAATATAGCAAATATATTAATTTTTAAATTATTATAGGTAGTTATGATACCAATATTATATTATTGTTATTTACCTATATGAGGGAGAGACTAAAACGGATTGTAGGAGCTTTAGTTTAATGCTAAGAGTAATAAAACATAACAAAGATATGCATTAAAAAAAATCTGCACTTCTTATTTGCGTAGTCTATCAATCTGAAAGGTTATTTCCGAGTAAGACCAAYAATTAATTTGTATATATGGAAAATTGTAAGTCGATACATTGTACTTAATGATAATTTTTTTTCAAAATGTAAAATAAATAAAATGARTTAAGCAATCAAAATGAATGCTAATTWAAAAMWAAAAACTTAAATATTTTATTTAGATAGAGACTATTTCAATTTAGATGCATTTCCTTATTTATATARACGATGACGATGATGATGCTATAAAAATTAATGTAGTTTTTATCTAGACAAATATTTATCTAGAAACTTCTCAATACTGTATCAACCGTAYCGCTTTGGAAACCCAATGACATATAGTAGGTACACGTTCTTGTAAAACGTTACAAGTTGCTTGCAATAAGTATCTACATGTATTATAAAGGTAAACTTTCTATTAACAGTATAAACTCAAATTATTTTTTGTTTGCGTGTTTCGAATAAGTGAAAAATATTTAACATGATAATATATATAATATGACAGAACCGGTATAAACACTCTTAGATTGTATATATATATATATATATATTTTAAATAATTCGATATCATAATAGTTATTAATAGTTCCGAGAACTGATATTTGGACTCGGAAATCGGAATGTCTTACGTGAATTGGGACGATATGCGTGGGTGCAGTTATAATATTTTGCTGTCATTATGATAATAAAATATACACTTGTACAGTGTAAATAATTCGTTGTTATTGTTATTTAATATTCAACGCTCGTATATACACACAGCGCCTATAAACCTATATTCCTATTCGGCATGGACTATTGACACACAAAATGCGTGCCAACCTTTATAATAATACTATATTATGATATATAAATATTATCGTAATATGTGTGGTTTGTACAGTTATTCGTGAATCGCGATGCATACATTATCCCACATGTACTGAGGAATTTAAAGAACCGAAGTGACGACAAGTTGTCCACTGCGGTTGAAGAGTTATARTAAAACTATAAAAGTCACTACTCTCTAYTATTTATCAGCCATTATATGTATAATAATATATATTAATACTATAACAGAGTGACGATGATATTTTAATCAGCTCCAGTATACAGATCAATTAATTTATACGATTTTGAAAAGAAAATAATATACCTACTTATAAATTTATGTTTTATAAAACAACCTAAATTTATCAACAAAGTTTATGATGTCTTTAGTTTTGTTGGCATTTTTTTTTTCAGAAAATTAAGGTACTTTCTGTATCTGGTAACACAACAAGTAAATACATGACTATGTGATAACTGAAATAAGCATGTACATAACATAAGAAACAACACGTCGTGAAACATATGATGATGGGAATCGTGCAGCAAAAKAATCCTCTGGTATTTTATTCTTAAATCACTATTAGTTTAATAGATCACGGACCAATTCCACGGTGTGGTGTGATTTTAGGAAGATAAAGCGATGGTGAGAGACTAAAGGATGGGATGGTGTTACAGTTTAGAATGAAATMTATTATAATAGAATKTGGCTATAGTGAGTCAACTGTTGACATTTTTAAATCTTTGTGTAGCTTTTCATTTGTTTCGTACCAGAGAGCCGAGGCTATTAGCCGAATAGTGATGAACTCCCAGCTTGAATGGTGCGAACTTGAGAAGGTTTGGCGCATCCCCAGATTTGCAMGTCATACGCCCWAATAGTAGAGACTTGTACAGAATGCGTTTTGTGAGTATATAGTTATGATTAACAATTATAAAATAAATTGTACTCTTACTGGTGTATAGCAATTACAGTTTATMGCGTTGTATTAAAACATKGTTAGAMACCTGCAGAAATGTATAGAAATATCGCAGACTTGTTCGCGTGAGCTTTCCTAACTTGTTTATTTTATACAAACATTTGTTTGCCACATCCTATCTCGTACAAAAACTTTACAATACGTTTAGGTAAATAAAAATAAAACGACTGTCGTTTCAACATCAGATGTTTGTATAATATTGTACATGATGGTAATCACACGATTCTTTTTTTGATTAAATTTAAATTGTCAATTTCTATTTATAAAGAACCAATTAGAKTAATGACAAAACACTGCAGTATAAGAATTTAGTAAAATCTGGATCGTTTTGTGTGACAAATAAATATATCTATTGTAAATCGATCGGGTGAGACTAATATAATGTACAAAAGTCAAATAAATAACTGTACTTATATTAAACGACACTAGTATAATAATATAATAATATATCATATAATGTCCGGTTAACATTATTGTGTGCGTTGAAAACAATCGAAAAAAAAATTACATATTATTACATCAAAATTATTAAAATTATATTATTGTATATTATAGATGATCAGCGATATAATGACAAGCAGCACGCTACGCGTACATACGTATGTAATATTATATTATAACACAATATTATGCTCAACAATGGTAAATACAACATTATTTATCGTCAATATTTATCCACATGATCTATTATTATATATATATATATATATATATATATATACATTATTGTGCATTATAATAATACAATATTACATCGTCACGCGCGGTATCGTAGCGTAGATCATTTTCTTAAAATATATTTTTGAAGTACGCAGGTAATAATAAAATATAATAATATTATTGTCATTATTGTTTGATTTGCTTGGGCACGGTGGTGGTGATAACGGGCCCGGAGGACGACCAGCTCTCCTCGAACGATTCCTCGGACGAGAACTGTTGTGACGAGGACATAACCGTCTTCTTTTTTATGCCACCGTTGGCCAGCTTCTCAACCGACTCGGATACCGATTTGGTTGACTCCTCCGACTGCACGCTTTTGGCCTTCTGCTCCAAATGAGAGTTGGCCGTGTCTTTGGTCACCTATATTATAATTATAATTATAATGCGGATCAACGAAAATGAACCATTTTAAAACAAAATATTTTTCGGATATCAATATTTTAAAAAACTCCAAAATTATTACAATTGAGATGAGTATTAACTTGACATGACTCAAGTTAAGATTTTTGTCTCAGAGAGTAGTTTGATATAAAATCAAAGTTTTTTCTTACTTTTGTTAATATTTCAGATTAATTCAATCGTTTTCGTCGAACATTAAAAATGATCATGTGCAAAACGGAAGGAAATATTTTACAGAAGGAGAGATATTTTTCGGATACTTATAAATATGCGTTTATTTCCTACATATACCAACTGCAGGAACTATAGTAATCATAAATGACGTACCTACACTACCACCTATAATATTTTCGATTGAATTTTCAACTTAAATATTAATACGGAATGTCAACCATACTAAGTGACACAGAACCACCATCAAGTTTTATGAGCTATAGGTAAGTAAAATAACATGATGTACGAATAATATTTATGTCTTTGAAACACACACATCATAACATATAAAGACGGAATAGATCCATCGTGGGGAGATTCACATATCACCAATTTAGTATAACCAAGCAATAGATTAATATTGGTTATTTTGGTTTTCAAAATGTTCATTTCATATAGGGCATCGCCCCGATATCTTCTAAACCAATGGTCGACAACCGGCTAAAAAACGGGACCATCAAAAAGTCTAACAATTTTTTTATCTTCAAATTTATAGTATGAAGATGACAACAACATTTTTCGGGACCTCATTTATTTATTATTTTAATCCTCCGGAATCCAATAGAAATTACTTGGCGAACCCTGTTCTAAACCTATTATCATTGACTATTTATATTATCTTTATAGAACATAAAGTTTAGTAATTTCGATATAACCTAATCAATATAACTTTTATCTCGTCTACATCTTTAAATTTATCTAATGTCATTCGCTTTACCAATCAATGATAAAATGAACAATTCACATTTGAAATTAAATATTAGTACATTTCTTAAAAATCATTAGACATTTAGTGTTGTAAGTTATGATATGGTCTTAAATACATTTACAATTTCTAAAAATCAGAGTTTTAATAAATATATTATTATGCGATAAAATGATATGCATGCTTGGTGAATCTTGGAGATCACCCAATGAATAATATTGTAGCCGTGCTACGGGTTATTATTTTTTGTGGGATAATGTACGTTGTGTTATTTGTTTGAACTTAATACCCAATCAGTTAACACAAACTTAGACTTAATAAGTTACAAAAGCAAGTATAAGTTAGGTCCTTAACCAGCTAATCTATACACGCTCCTCAAATTTAAGTACCTATTTAAGTTTAATAAATGCAATGACTAAAAATTCTAAACCAAAAAGTAAATTTTCTCACTAATTAAACATTGTGTAGGTACCTATGTACGCATTGTGATTATTTATGGGCTCAACTGTTATATTAATAGTTAATGTGAAGAAAGCTATACACAGTGGATTTATTTGTTTTGAAACAGATACGCGTTTTTTATTTCTCCAATAGTTACTTAAATTAATTAATTTGTATTTTTGTATTTTTAAAAATAAATCATCGTTATAGTTGTTAGTCCAAAACCATGAATTAAACTCTACATAAATTGATGTAAGCACTTAAAAATTTATCGAATAAATAGAATATTAGGTAATTGTTTACAATCATAGAAAAACACGAAGGGTAATAAATAAATTTGTTTAAAAAAAAAAACTATATAATACTTTATAGTAGATACGATGCCATTCGCTGTATACTTTTTTTAAACGAAATTAATTTTTAAAAAGCTATTTTATATTATATTGCTCACATAAAGCAATAATATACTTCCCAAACTCTATTTCGTTGTGACCATAAATTGTATTCATTTTTGACGAATAAAACAAAAAATGTATTCTTCGTGGTACGTATTGTTGTATTAATTAGTATTAATTTATTTTTTACAGTAATCTTTAAATGATACTTTGAATTGTCAGATAACGTTTTACGATTAATAAACTTATTGGCATGGTCTCAATAAAAACGTTAAGTTTATGTACAAAATATATAAATAACCACAGTTTTAGCCTAGTAAGTAATATATATGTATTTACTATATATATAAGGTGTAACAAGACTATTAAACAAATTTTCATTACAAATATTACTATATTTGTCAAATAGTACTGTTACATTCTGTATATGTATTTATTTTTTTGAAGGGGGAAGTTCTAAGAGAGCCTAGAAGTAATTTTTTTTTCCAACTAAGTACCTATTTAACAATATATTTGGTAGTATCAACCGAAAACTTAACTGTATCACTTCAACAGAGAATGTCTCTCTCAGACCGTCAAAACACCGAAGTTATGCATGTGTCGTATCGTATAGTGGACACTATTTACGCTTTGGAAAACAAATGGTTATAATAATATATTATTGTCCACATCATATTATAATATGATATTTCACATATATTATCAATTATTGGTGATGCAATTAAATACATTAATAATTTGTCTACATGGTGATTCACCTGCATGCTCAATAATCCCATGTTCAATGTTAATTGTCAATATTTTTAAATATATATAAGGATCATTATGTTTTCATATAATTATAAGTGCCATATTTTATAACATATTATGGTGTTGTTTTATATATTAACATCATTTTGTTTTAATGCGATGTACCAGCCCTTTTTTTCTGTAATTAGTTTATATTATTTTTTTTAACTTTGATGCATATAAATTAGATTTTGATTGAGTTGTTTTAAGGTTATTGAACTTTTTTTACTGACTATAATATAATTATAGGCTTATGATAATAAGTTTGAAAGATAATAATATTATGGGGGCTAGGTATATTATGCTGGTTTGAAAACGAATGTAATTAGTATTAATATAATATGAGCATTTTATAAGTTTTAAACGTTTTCTGTGTAGAATATAAATTAGATCCAATTTCACAATTTTTTTTATATATTTATTAAAATTGTACAATTTGTAATATTATCCTTGTAAAATGTATACACATTTTATAAACATTTTAAAACTATTCGTTTAAATTTAAACTTTAATGCATCGCCATTTTCAAAAAAGTCATCTGCTCAATAACGTTCTATCAAAAAAGGATGGTGCTCATAAAATTTGAGAAAAAATGAGGTGAGCATGCTAGGGGTGAATCACCCTGTATACGTATTTCTTTGATCTACTTTAAATCCGTTAAATGTAAGGACGCATACAGGGTTATTTATACCAACGATGGTGCACACAGTGGCGATCAGGCTTACCGAACGCGTACTTTCCCACGATATGTAACAATATATATTACCATGGTGTGCAAGTACGATTTCACACACGAGATTAGAGTTTAGTGGCATCCATGATGACGTTTTATTCGGCACTTCTGTACCACAGACCACAGTTTCAGGATAAACCGAAAACGCTATCCCAGCGCTGAACTGGCGGTGGACGATAAAATCGTCTCTTTATTGCAGTATTATATCGCAYGCGGTAGGGTTTTCCTTTTTAATGCATTCGAAAAGGGTATTAAGTATCAGCATAGGTGATTTTGTGTATTTTTTTCATTTCCACCCCCCCTCCACCTTCAAATACAACTTCTGCGCGCGTCGAAATTCTGTTTATTTAAATTATATAAGTTCATAATATTGTATCTATCGGTATGACATTATTTTTCCACCTAAGAATACTCAAAAAATAGTCTACTAGATAAGATGGCCCATATATTATTATTATACTATTAACGTCATGAGTAGTACCAAATAATTTTTAGTGTTTTCAATTGATTTCAACACACTATTGACGTACACGTACCTATAGTGATCGTTTGAAGAATTTTCATAAGGCGAACGATTCGAGGCCAATGTCATGTAGTCGCCTGACACTTTGGACAGGTTCACTAACCACGAAGCGAACCAGAACGGGCCCGTGGATCATAATACAATTTGGGAACACATTATATGAAATAAATAGCAATAATAATGAATAATAATCAAATAAGATTCACGACACAATCATGAATGGAGAACAAAATATTACGTTCGTTGAATAAACAGTCGATTTAATGTCGAGAAATATTAAGGAATAGTATATGGGCCTAAGTGGTCGAAATCACAATACACAAAAAATGAATAGTATTTGTTTTTATTTTTTCGATTGAGCACTATTATTACCTACTCAAACAATGTAAGTTCATCCTCTCCAAAGGAAAGTTGTTACGTTTCAAATTTTCAAATTACTGTGAGTTGGTGACGTTGATCACGCGTGTATAAGACAATTTAATATTTCAAGACCCATTCGAACAATAGTTCATATTTGTTTTGTGTTTTTCTTAATGCAATAAAATATCCAGACCAGAGCCTAAAATATATCTAATTTCAGGGGACACAGTTATTAATTTAACTGTTGACTTTGGACTTTGACAGATTTTTATAGCAAAAAAAACCTGTGTTGGTTGTAACTCCCAAAATCCGCCTTCTTTTATGTACCACTTATTACCTTACAGTTTATACTTCGCTACTTTTTAGTAGGTTACAGTACACACTACCTACACAATATTGAATTAATATGAACTTACTTTGTATTGAATCGTTATCAGTTTGAGTTTTTCTTTTTTTTATAATATACCTACTTGTCCATAGTAATATAGTATAGAAATACAATAGGTAATTAAGTTTAAAATACTAAATAGGCTATAGTAGTAAATAAAATTATTGTGTCTAGTGTTGTGAAACCGACTATAACTATCGTCTTTCGTATATTATAATAATGAATAATGATTAATATTATTAGTTATTACTATCAGAATCAGTAATCACTAAGATCATAATAATATTATGTTGTTCAAACATTCTAAAATACCCACATAGTATATTTATAGAAAAAACTCCACATTTGAAACAAGAATTTTGGAATTTTGTGGAACAAAAGTCCATTGGAACTAGGAAAATGTGTTTTGTGGAACAATGTGTAATGACCAGCCAAAGTGTATGATATCAGATATAAATGCTTATCACTCGATATTTGTATAAAATTGATAATGATTCTCAATTTATTTTGAAATAAATTTTGAAATGAAGTTATAATAAAATTGTGTTGAAATTCCTAAATTGTTATCATTACTTATTTCCGCAATTAAAACTAAAAACGTGTTATAAAACTTGGGACACACATTTGTCATTCAGGGGACACACTTTGATTTTCAGGGAACACAGTATTTTAGGCCCTGATCCAGACACATATAGTGTAATCGTTAGGGAACGATTACAGGCAACGTGTTTACTCCGATGTACATTATGTGTACTGGTGTGTCGTAAAACTCGGGAGCGGACGATAAGTTTTCGTTCATAAAACAAATCAAAATAATATGCGTTTTCATCGTAAATAAACTTTTGGTTGTTATTGTAGTAATAATAATTGAGATCGCCCGGTTATCTGAATTATCTACTGTAATTTATTCGCGCGAACAGACCAAAATAACAAAAGCAATCGAAAATTTTGTTTTTAACTAACGATAAAGGAAAAAAGAAAAAAAGATAATATAATGTAATAATAATGTTTTATGACATTACGCATTATATTACAACAAATATAATAATATTATCTTCGACATAATTTTATATTATTTTAAGTGAATATATTAAATATGATTTATATGATAATAGTCCCGTTGGCTGTTTTTTGAGTTTCTTATGTTTTCAAAATTGTTTTTGGAATAAGTGAAAAAGGAAAACTGGATGCGCCTAATATTGTATTGTTATTAACATATATATATATATATTTTTTTTTTTATCAATTCCTTTTGTTTTCGGAACCGAATAATGTGTAAAAGTAAATTTATAATATAAACATGCCCATCATTGGTGTAAAATTATTTCTCATGCCATCCCATTATTGTAATAAAATAATAATATGATGATTGATGATGATAATAAAGACGATGATTTATGATTAGGAGAAGTTCCTACTATTATATTAGATTGTTTTATTTTCTGCATAAACCAGACAGAGAAAGATGGTTTGATAGAGCCGCAAAATGTTCACATACGCATCCGAAAGAACATATAATAATAACGATTTCTATATCATTTAAACGCCAATTTTTTCGAGCATCTTTATTCGTTACAAATGTATTACGTATCTACCTACCTAAATCAGAAAAATAATATTTTTTTTACTTTTCTTTTTGTTGATGCATATCTTATTATTAAATTATGTAATGAGTATTGGTGAAGCAAATATTTTAATGTTTAATATTTCAATTTTTAGGCTATCACCTAAAAAAATGTTGAGAATGATGATTGATTTACAAATATGGTTCGAAGCGGTAACTTGAGTGAGTTAAGAGAATAGAGTACCACTGTCTTTGTCATTCACACGTTCAATACAAAGCGAAAACTACCCATTTTACGTTAATATCGTCACGATCAAACCAATCATAAATATTGTAACAATAGATTTTGATTCAGCGTGTGAAATTGCGAACTACATGCGAGATTGATCAGATCGTTTTTTTGAATTACACTACCTAATCCACAAATATTTGATTTTGATAATTTGAACATAATTTAAAATGTTATTTATTAATTAAATTGTTTAAAATTTTGACTGAAATTTAAATTTTTTAAAATGGACTGATAGATTTTATGTCTATTTCGCGTTGAATATAATTTCTATTTTTATAATATATTTTAACAATCGCTTTAACAATAGTATACTTAAAAAATAACGTAAAATTGGTTGAATTTACCATCGTTTCACGCGTGCAGAACGACAAATATGATAAAATGCATCGATATTGGGCCCTCTTAGCATCCTCAATCCAAGTACGTCATCGAGATAATTTCATGCTTTGGAATACGATTTCCATCAAGTATGCCTTGATACCGATTTCTGGCCACAAATGTTACGTTGTTTGTAAGAATTGTAAAGCCAAATTTTTAGATTAACGAGAAAGTATATAGTCACCGCGGCAAAATACAAATTACACGGAGAGGTCCAAAAACATGCCTTTTCACCCTTATCCGAGTAAAACTCAATTGCAAATATTTAGCATAGGTACATGCATTTAMTCCAATTTTCATACTTAGTTTTGATACTCGCTCGACACTCCACTCTTTACAAAATAAAAAATATATTTAAAAAAACACTGAAATGCCCATTTGATAATAAAAATGATAATAACATTTTTTTTGCTATTATTTAGCGCACCATACGCGTGAAATTAAAATACAGAATTAACGTTTTGGATAATATTACAGTTAGATGCAACGTTTCAGCTCTGATTCCTGTTATCGTCGGATTGGTTATAGTCCTAGGCTTTAAATAATAAATTAAGCTATTGTAACGGCTATTATGTTTTCACACTTTGCATTAAAATTGCCTATACGTAACCCCTTTAAAAGCGGATGGCGAGCATCACTGTTACAGCACGGGATATCCTTTAGTATTTATAATGATTTACCTCTTTAGTACGTTCAGCCACTGAAGATGTCTCCTCAGTCGCCGTCACTGTTTGTTTTCCGGTATTGGGTTTCTTTTCGACCGTTTGAACTTCCATTATGATGATTAAGTATTATTACTATTATTATTATTGTTATTATTATTTAGTGTATAAGATTTTTTTTTTTAATTACAATAATTATAAAAAGAAGAAATATATGTGTTTTAACTATTTTTATACAATGGCTGTCKAGACAACTAAACAAAACACGGTTGTGGTTCAGTCGTTCTTTTTATAAACGCTTCGGGCGACGGGCGGCAGCGGCTTCACTTCTACCACTTCTTCGTCGTCCTCGTCGTCCTCGTAATCGATTTCAATGTCGTCGTCCGATAGCTCTTCACCAGAATCACTATAGTCCCTTAAAAACAAATAAATAAAAACCGATTATGAATACGCGTCACGTAATATTTTACCGCAAAGTAAAAAAAAGTTTTGTTAATATTATGACAATATTATTCGACGACCATGAGCGGTAGCGACAATGCACTGCAGTAGGCAATCGATTTATCCGACATATAATATGTTATAATACAGTAAAGTTATAATTGTTAAATTTTTATAGACAGATTTAATACTCGGATATTTCTGGAAAAACATCCAAAAGCAGTGGTTGTACACGTAGGGATACCCGCGGGGATGCTGATGGTGTCTACGGCACTCCAGGACCTTTCATCCAATGCCCCAATTATTAAACAAAGATCCAAATGGATTTATGAGTTTTAGATAATTTTTTCGTTTGTGATATCATGTACGTTAACGATTCTATATTACCTAAAGTTTTTAAAGCTCTATCTAAAATTAGTTTTACAAATACCTATGTGTATTTGTAAAGTTTATTATATTGTATGAGTATTATATTTTTAAACACTATTGATTAGGTACTTATTTCAATACTTTTTCTCAAAATTTGACTAAAGTATAACAAAGTTTTTTATTTTGAAAATGTATTACTATAAAATGCAATTCTCAAAAGCGCAAAGCTAATGATAGTTAAGTGTTATCGAAAGTTTCCAATGATCTGTAACAATAAACACAATATATGTTTTTATTTCTAAAAAGGACCGGTCGTGTTGGAGTTGTTCACTAAAAATTTTCGAATAATTTTTCAAAAAAATGTATGTTATTTAGCTATTTCTTTTATTGTTATAGATAGAGTTTGATATTGATATTGAAATGTATTGATCTTGATTAAATTTTTTGCAGMTGTTACATAAAAAGTGGTTTAAACCGTGATTATGATATTCTATGACTTATGAGTTACAAAATGATTTAAAGGATTCGAATTATTTCCTATAAACCTTTATAAAATATTTCAGGAATTGCAATAGATATTTACAACGCGGACAACGGCTGTTAATTGTTTGTTATATTTTAATATGGTCATCGGCAATATTATTTTTGTTATTATTTGATTCGTGGACTGCTGTTAACATGACGCATACAATAATGGTTTAAGAATTAAGATATTTAAAATCGGGTGTACGATTTACAGCCAAGTAAGAGATTTGGTATTCTGGTTGAAATGGTATAGACAGTGTTGTACTTATTCTTTTATTATTTTATTCATACGCGAATTTGAATTTGAAATCCTAAAACACAGTAATCCAACAATCAAATTATTTTTCATTTGTTCGTACCAACATTATCTCACTTGCAGTGGCGGATTTGACGGAGTAAATATATAGGCGTGAATGTCCTATGGACTTATGGACTCTCGTCCGTGTGGGTCATCTACTATACAGGGTCTGGACTTGACCACTCATAGATTTTCTAATATCCTTAACTCAAGATCAGAACGGAAATCGATTCAAACTACGGCATGAGCATATTATACAAGATGTAACAGATAGAACTAATTTTTTTTCACATTAATATTTTTCATTTTTTCATTTTTTTATTCATAAAGTGAACCTAGCACTACATAATATATAATACATTTTTTTATGTTTTATTTTTTAGTACTGAAGATAAAAATTAATTAATTTAATAGAAAAAATGTTGGATAAATTCAAAATAGCCTATTTGTGAATCTGATTATAAAAACAAGTTTTATGGTAAAAAGATTTATCAAAGTTCAAGTAGTTGATTTTTAGAATTCTTTTAAAAATCAATTTTTTTTTTTGTTAAATTAATTTGGAACGCAACAACTTTAAAAAAAATATGATTTTTAAGAATTTGCTGACATGAGTATATTTCTTAAATTATTTATTTATCATGTAATATTGAAAAATGTTGTCATGCAATGAATTGGTAAAATTTATTATTTTTTTTGGTCAGGTCTTTCTGTTACATCCTGTATATCGACTGCGCCTTAAACGCGTACTCGCATATATTGACAGACAATCTATGATATTTGATCATTTATTTGTTTTTCATATATAGAGGTACCTGCATTGCCTATGATTGCAATCATCAAAAATTACCAAAATAACAGAAATTGAGACGCTTTATTACCATCAATGTCTTAGTGTTCCAATATTTTTTTTTTTTTATTTCATATTTGCATTTTTTTATCTAAATGTTCTTTTTCAATATGAATGTTTCATTCAAAATTAATCTATACTTGGTCAGTATAATTAGGTACCTACTATTTTGTTTTTTAACGTTACCGACAGTTACCGACGTAATAAAATTATTGTTAATTTTGAACTCAAAATATATTAAGTATGTGAACGAAAATTTAAGTGTATATTTTATTGGGCCCTTTGAAATTTTTGTAGACTAGGCCTTTTTCTTTAAATCCACCACTGATTTTCATGATCGAATGAGTATCACATATTTACATTACAGTGAAGTTTTGGGCATGACTCAATCACTCATCACTCATAATATTTATATTTTTATTTAATCGGTGGAATTTATTTTTAAAAACTCAATACTCAAATACAGTTATAGACACTTATTTAAAAGATGCTATAAATTTAATATAAAATATTCATTAGATTTATTGGTTAACTACATTAAAATTAAAATTTGAGTGACTAATCCGGTAAAATTTAAAAAATCACAATTTATTTAATGGGCATGTAATATAATTAAATTTGCAGTCGTTGAATATTCTAAATAGCACCACGGATGTTAACGAACAAAGACACACAAAGTCACCGAGACATTTTTTTCATTTCTTTTTCACAGAATACCTACTTCGATACATATAAAATCCAATATCAAAAAGATTTGATGAGTTACAAGTTATAAGTTGATCCACAGAAACCCAGCTCGTTTATACTTTAAAACTTGAAATTTAAATAATATATCGAAATACTCTGAATAAAATTCTGCTTAAAAATATAATGAAACTAACGAAGCGGACATATTTTGGTTATTTTAAAAATAAGAAATTTAAAAACGTAAATGATAATAAAAAATATTTAAAAAATATATCTTCCAAAACATAAATAGATTTTAAAATTATGAGCGTTTTACGTTGAATGATTCATCTGGTGTAGGTAAATACTATATACATCGGTATGTAATTAAATACACAGTGCACACACATTATTCGTACCTACCTATTTAATATGTTTGTTTATAGAAAAATTATAGTTTATTAAGTTCTTAGAAAGATTTACAAAAAAAAAAAATCCGTCGCACTAGTGAAATATTATAGTACCTATATTAGCATTAGGATGGCGATGACTGCAGCTGCTTTCGACCTCGGTCTTTATTAATGTGCAAATACACGAAAAGCTGCATTATACACACACGCGCGTGCGCGCCCGCACACACACATACAAAATATAGCTGCGTATAATAGTGTAGAGAAGTATATTATATTATATAGGGTGTAACATAAAGACCTGACCAGAAAAAAAAATTATGCAAATTAAACATATGACAAAAATTGTTAATATTATATGATGGGTAAATAATAATTATAAAATACAAATTCTCAAAAATCATCTTTTAAAAAAGTTATTACGTTCCAAATTAATTTGACCAAAAAAATGTTGAATTTTAAAAGAATTCTAAAAAATAAACTACTTGACTTAGACAAATCTTTTTACCATCAACATTTTTCTTGTTATTAGATTCACAAATAAGTTATTTTGAATTTATTCAAACATTTTTTTACTAAATTTAATTTTTTTTATTCTAAGTACTAAAAAATAAAACATAAAAAAATGTATTAGGTATACATGTAGCACAAGGATCACTTAATGAACAAACAAATAAATAAAAAAGATTAATTTGAACAAAAGTTATTCCAAAAGTCTTGTTACGCGTTGTATTAGACACACGACGTACGAGACTGTACGTATGTTTGTTTTTGTTTTTATCAAGTAAAGGGGCCAGTTTGGTCTCACAAACACGGTTGTACAAAATATATATTAAAATGGTTTTAGTATTATAGCAATATAGGCAAATGACAACTATATACATTCTTCGATAACAAACATAAGTATTATATCTTACAATAAGATTTTTGTTAAGCAAACAAACTGTGTACAACTGTGCTGTTTGCTGATTTAATGTTTTTTAGTGAAATAAAAGCTTTATGATTATACATATCAACAATAATAAACTTTGAAATTAAGAACCCATATTCTTGCGATTCTTTTAACTCAAGTAATGCTTTCAACTATTGTCTAAACTGTTTAAGACTTCAAGTTCTTCATATCACACCTGCTTAAATATTAATTTTAAAACTAGGTGGGCTTGTCTTAATTTTCTTTAAATTACGAGTTTGCAGTTTTTATGCGCTTATATTAGCGCATAAGCAAATATACAACAATATTCTGACGAAGTTATCAAACGATTGAAATCTAAAATCTAAAAGTTAACTCTATTGGAGATGTGTTATATAACATTACGMTTGCATTGCTATATTTAATTATGAATAATTTAAGTCTAAAATGAATTATAAAATTTAGAACTGTATATTACGCTACATTAACAGCAACAACGTGTATCTCATTTTTGCTACTTTTCAGGAGTGACAATTAACTAAATTAATTAGTAATTAATACTTAATCGGCCAGATTCTAGATTTATTCTGTTAATCTAAGTAGTTTTACAACGTTTTTTTTAACTAATAGTGAAAAAAGTTGTATTATTAACTGAAAAATCCACTTACGTGTAATTAGCCACATCACAATAAGATACGTAGTATTTCAATTTAGAGATGTGTTATTATGAAAAAAATCCCTGAATAATTATCATAAAATAATAATGTCGAGACCACGTAACTAAAAGAAAGAAAAATATTTAAATTTACTTAAAAATATAAAAGATGAATTATCATAACTTTACTTTTCATGACAGTTACAATGTTTTAACAAAATAATAACAAAAAAGTATCAATACATTTTATAGAATCTATTCCAGTCTTTGGATTTATTTGGTACAATTTAAGGATTAAGCTATATTACCTATATATTATACTCAAAATAACTAAAAAATCTTTTATAAAACAATTAGGTTTATATTAAATTAAGTAATTACTATTATAGTATTATTATAGGTTTGGGTAAAATCAAATTAAAAAAAAATATTATGTAAAACCACGTATCTCAGTGAATAAACAAAATCTTAAGATTGTTTTAAAAAATATGACTAACCTATAGGTTAATACATTATAATAACAATTAAATGCTTTATTTCAGTACTTGAAACATTAAATAATAAGTTATTAAATCATTCAAAGTCAAAAAGCAATGAAATGTTTTGTTAATGTACATAGTGTACAATGAAGTTTATATAAATTGTATATACGTGTAATAACACGTATCTGAATTATGCAAAATGTTAACTGAGTCTAGGAATATTAATTAAGTTAATAATCAATAACAAATTAATAATTATTGTAATACAATGCATAATATATATATAATAAAAATACTTTTATTATAATTAGCTTAATATTGAATAGAACGCAGATATTTTAAGGGACGTTCTACATACACCGTGTAAAATTGGTCAAATACGTGTTATCACAGGTGAATTTACGATACGTGCTATCACTGAAATCACTTTTGGCGGGAAACTAATGATTCTATAACGCGCATGATAATAAGCAATTTTATGCGCCAGGAGGTTTCAAATATTTTGGTATATAAATCTCATTTTGCCCAAAATGTGATACGTATTGTTGCTGTTAAGGTAACTTAGTTACTTAATTATTTAAGACCAAAAGTGTAAAAGGGCAATATTTTTTATTACATTAGTAGGTACCATAGAGCATTTACCTTAGTAAAATTATATTGTGAACTACTTAGATTTATATTTTTCCCGGGTTGAAAAATATTACCAATCCTGTCCTCGCCTAAAACAAATTATTATGAACCTATACTCAAAGTGAGATCGTGATTTTTATGTTGAACCTTTTAGTTACAAGGCCGGTGGGTGGGTAAAACCAAGACTTTAGTTTCTGAATATCTGATTTCAAGAATTATACTTGTGTTGTTTCCTCTAAAAGATCCTCATTTGTTGTACTTATTCTGCAGATATATTCGAATAGGTAGTATCCAGAATACAGAATACAAAAAAAAAATGTATTCTCTTCATGCCCCGCTTATGCTTACACGTTTATTATTATGTTTCAGTGTGAATTCTGATTAAGTTAGTTCTGGACATCTTAAACTTAGATTAAACTATCTTAATCTAATTTAATAAGCTAAAAAAAATAATATACATTCTCGTCGACTATACCATATTTTTGTATCTGTACTTAAGCTATACACCATAATATATTATATCTGTTCAGTTCATTAGCCTTTAGCTAACTGTAATTGAATTCTGCTATCGTTCCGTTCCATTAATTATAACGACGTATATCTAAATACAACTAATCAAAGCCAGTTATTACTACAAAAAAAATAAAAATAAAAAATATGTTATTCAAATCAATAAAAACACAATATTTAATTATTTCAATACACAAATTTGTCAATTTTCTCCTTTCATAAAAAAAAAAAATTGTTTAACACGAAGAAAATTATTTAAATCTTTCGACAACATTGTTTAATATATAAAAATAAATCTATATTAAATATTATTAGGTGTAGCCGTGTAGGTATACGTAATAATTATAGGATAAAATATATTATTATTATTATTAAATCGACAACTACATTATTATATTATTATTATAAAAAAAAAAAGCTCTCCACATATATTATTATATAATAGCAGCAGCAGCAGCAGCAGTAATAATAACAATATATTATATAAACGACGACTACTACTCAATTAAATGTTGTTATATTATACGTAATATTATATTATCGTACGACGACGACGGGTCGGAGCCAATAAAAGCCTAACCAAGGGCGGCGATGACGACCACGACGACTTACAACTGTTGGTCTTGAATGGATTCGTGGTGACTTTTCTGCAGGAGTTGACCGCCGTGCGACTGTTCGGCCGACAAAAAGTCTCCGACCGCGTCTCCGGTGACGGCATTACGTCCGACCGTCGTCACTGTCGGTGGTTTAACGACCGTTTCGCCTTTTTCCAGAGTGGCAAAGTCCACGACCGGCGCGTGGCCTTTGCCCGAGGTGTCGTCGCTATCGTTTTCTTGAAATTTCACGTGGGCCGCGGCCTTTTCCTGCACCGTCGTCGGTTTAGGTGCTTCTTTGCCATCATTATCACCACCGCCGATTTTTACCGACGGCTGGCTAGGTGGATCGTCTTTTTTGACCGCCGACGACGATGACGACGGTGGTGGTGGCGGCGGCGGCAGCACCGGTTTCACCGCCACCGTTCCTCTTTCCGCGACTTCGAACTCGGTCTTTGCAGGCTTCTGCGGCACCACGTCTCTGTCCTCCCTCTCTACGACTTCAAACTCAGACTTGAACTTGGAACCGTCTATTTCGGGGGACACCGCTTTGGCTGGGGCTCCTTCCTTCTCACCCGTCTCGAATTCCGGTTTTAGTTTGGCGGGTGTTTCCGATTTTTTCGTGTTATCGATGTCGATTTTTGGTTTTTCACTGATTTCCTCCGGTGCCTTTGGAGGCTCTGGTTTTTTTACTTCGTCTTTCGGTTTTGGCACCACGAACGGTGCTTTCACCTCTTCGGTCTTATTAGCCGGAACGCTGGGTTTAGTAGGTACGTCATTTGTAATTACTTTGTCTTCCGGTTTTTTGGGTGGTACAATAGGTTCTTTTTCTTCGTCTTGGTCTCCTTCGATTTCATCTTCGTCTTCTAAATCCAATTCTTCTCCTTCTTCGTCGTTAAAAATTTCTTCGATATCATCATCTTCGTCGCCTCCGTTTTCGATCTTATCGTCATTATCATCGACCTCAACGGGTGGAACTACATCAGCCGAAACTATTGGTTTGTCTTCGGTACAGGACGGTGGACTGTCTTTTATTGATTCAGTAGAGACCTGAAAATAGAAAAGTCTAATTAATGGATGTATTTTTAATCAGTAATATTTTAACGATTGAATTGTGGAAAGAATAAATAATAATGTGACAGCTGCTGCACCACATGGACGAGTGAAACGGATGCCAAAAATCTCAAGTAGGCATTTATTACAACCTATAAATCTATAAATTATTCTTAACTTTAAAAACTAACATATGTCTCCGTTGGACAAATGCCCGGACTTAAAATTTATGTTTTGTTTTTAACACAATCGTTTTTAAATAATATGTATAAGTACCTATAGCCTTTAGGAGGTAGTTAAATCTTAAACGTGAATAAAATATTGTTTATATTTAAGAATTTAAAGCAAGAATACTGTAAATTTGTTTGCTATTTCACAAACAAAATGTATAACATATACGATGGTATATTTTTAGAAAGTGTATGATAATTAACTAAATAGAACAATGCTTATAATTTTGAAAAGTAAAACTAGGTAGAAAAGTTAAGTTAGGATACAACATTTAATTTACTCAATTGTAATTTTTGTTCTTGAATAGATAGAAAGAAGTTAATTTACATAAGATATCTATATCTATAATTATTTGTAACATTTTCCTATACGTTTAACGTACTCCACGTGATTTGTTTGACAGATAAAAATAATATACCTACGCCGATTTTAATTTTAACACTATTATAAAACTATTTTTCATGAATAATTATTAAATAAAAAAGTGACCAGAAAATGTTTATCAATATTAATGTTGAAGTGAGTTGAACCAAATAACATTAAATGAGCTTGGAATTACGGACTTAGTAGGAAATATAATTTAAATAAAACCTAATCAAACGATGAAATATAATAATATGAACAAAAGACTTTCAAAGATAATTAAAATATATATTATAAAATAATATATACAGTATATTGTATATAAGGCGATATTATTAGGTACTACTAAATTACAACTTCAGTGGGTGGACTTTTATATTGGTATGACGAATAAATCGAAACAACACGAAACTATACGAGATCAAGAATCGGGTCAAATAAATGATGCAACAACAACAAAAGAACTATTTTAATATTATTTATCATCATTCGTCAAGTTTCAAGAATTCAAATCTCTATGGGATAAAAATATATTATGAATTTTAATTTTTTTATTTATATCATTAACATGACATAACTTATAAAATTTCAAATCTGCAAGGATCGGGAAAAAATCGAGTTATCACGGTTTTCAAGAGTCAACTGTATTTTAACTATAATATTATGATAGTAATAGACTATAGAGTATAGAGTTTGTGTGCGAGATAGGATGTCTATAAACTGGCTACACTATTCGTGTTTTACACGCATCACGCTTGGTCCCAATTTGGGTATTCTATTTTTGTTGTTATCTACACAACAAACAAGCCGAATTTCAGATACCAAGTGCCCACGTAGGGCGTTGTAATATAATAATTAATCGTTTCTATCCTATGAATCACGTCATTACGACGGGTTTGTATTACTATTATAATTTTTTCTTTTAATCGACTTGCACGGCTTGACCCTGCAGATAATAATATCGTTCACACGATCGGACGGTCAAACAAGGAGATTAAAAACTGGAAACGTATGTTTCGAGTAAGCGCGAGTCTTCGATTGAGCGAGCACAATATGTCATAATAATATAATAATATGACGATGAAAATCTAAACCTTCCATTGGACGCAGACGCCAAAGTCATGGTATGTATAACATATTATAGCGTAGTCGTAGTGACGTACAAGCGAAGATTTACGTGTGAGAAAGAGTTGAGTGTACCACTATAGATAAAACGATCGATTTCTCGCAGCCTTAGAGGTCCATTAAAAAATAGAATAGATACAGGCTAAAAAAAAAAAGAAAAAGAATTCTAAGCAACAGAATTTAAATAAATTTATTTTTAAGTTATTACCTATTTAAAAAAGTATTAATAATACAAATTTATATAAATTATTATGAAATATAAAATAACTCATGCTTAGAAAATCACCCTTTATATTAGATTTTATAACATAATATGAGAAAAAAATTATTCTTTGTCACGCACAAAGTATTAGGTGTATATAAATATAATCGTTTTTATGTTAATTTCATTTTTGACTAGCATGCGGACGTAGTTTAGAAAGATATGTGCCGATAGGAGCCGGACACGAATAAAATGTATCATATTTTTTCCCCTGTTTAAAAGAAGAACAGCTTTTTTGCTTTTTATACCGTAGACTTCGTGGGTATTTGATGTAATCAATATGTATTGTATTCTAGACCAATATACTGTATGCCTGTATTATATCATATTTGTATTGTTTGAATAAGCAAGGTGAGTGGGTGATAGTGGGGTGGAGTATTATTATTATTATTATTATTATTTTAATCCTTTCTACAAGACGTGTTTGTCGACGCTAATATTATAAATAGATTGATGTATATAAACATTTTTTTACATCTATCGACTATTTTTTTTCCTACAACTCGAGCACTGCAATAGGCACCTACAAGGCTACAACCTAGCACATTGTAATAATAGTATAGTCACTACTTCACTAGTACGTACAAAATAACATAATAATATGCTTTCGTAACATGTCACCCGACAATTTGAATGCGTGTACGATAAGCTTTAGCGTTGAACGATACAAAATAAATTACAGTATAATATCATACATAATAAATAATACATAAATACAAGCACTGCACAACTGTACTAATACAGGTACGTGCGCCGAATGTCAAATAACGACCATTCGGCATTCAGTTACCCACGGTAAGCAATATATATCTAACATAACCTAGTATATGAACAGCGAACGAAGATCGATATAAATAGTATATTGTAATATTTTTAATTTGTCAAAAGGTACCTAATAATGAAATACAATGAAGTATATAAGTACCTACATAATCTAAACGTTCATATAAATGTATAATGTGAAAATAAATAAAACGCATAATATAATAGGTAAACTTTTTGTAAACTTACATTTTAACAGCAACTTCGAACGTTGTTAGTTCGTAATCGTTTATGTATACGTATGCCCTATTGTCGTATAGTGTACATTAACAGTTTACAGTACCTATATATATATATATAATCGTATAAAGTATATGCACTACACGAATCTCGATTGTTCTTGTACGTATGATTATTATTACTATCATAATTAAACAATCGGACCCGTACAACGTGCAACAGTTCGAATATAATAATTACGAAACATCTGGCAAAATAATACATAATAATAATGTAATATTAACAAAATGTGTAGGTACCAACTCGTTTTAAAAAAAAAGAAATATAATATACAATATATTATTACCTATAATATCTAAATTATACAAATTATTTTAACTATAATAACGCAGTTGGAACTTGGAATACCGTAAGTTATCGAACAACTACTATACCTACACATCGTAAACGCATTATCGAACTGATGATTGTCGTACAGGAAAAATATTTCGTCGCTGTATAAACACAAAAAACACGGTGATCAAGAGGCACATGATAAATATTATTATTTGGATTATATTAAAATGTCATGTCGATTATTGACATTCGAACGTGAAATGGTAAGTACGCGTGTTTAAAATAATACTCCTATATAATATATATGCACTATTTATAAACATAGGCATACAGGATAGGTATTGATTCGAGGCCAGACATAACGAATTAAGTTAAAAATAACTTTTACTCAACACAAGATCAGTTTTAAATTAAATTAAGTTTATTAATTATTAGTTTTCGTTTATGGTAGGTATAGACATTTTTGATAAATGTGTTACTTGGAAGTTGGAAGTCACATTACCGCTGTTCACTAAGCAAACAAAATTGATTTAATTAAAGTTAAAAATCAATTTTTTCAACGTAACATACTATTATTTATCATAGTATAAGAGAAAAAAATAACCTTCAATGAAATTAAAAGAATATAAAAATATTTTTCGAATACTTTAATTTTTAAACTTTTTAAACGAGCGCGTAATATATTTGTACCCGCCATCGCCATACAAGTAATATCTGTAAGTATCGCCGTGCCGTCGCGTATCACTCGTAAGAAATATTATCGAAACGGAAATCAGTATGTCGAATAATAATGCGAAAAAATACTTGAATGTAATAAGTCCGATGGGCATATTAAAATAACTAGCATACGTCGCGCCGTCACATTGAAAAAATGTACGTATACGTACAGATAATAGAAATAAAATAATAATAATAATGATATGAATATGTCTAGTGTAGTAATGCGACCGCGTCACTCAACCTCCTCCTCTTCAATTATAGCCGGGTACAAAGTTAACGGAGGCAAAAGTACTATCATTATACGAAGACACGTATAGCCTTATAATACAGGCCCTCGTAATGGAGTGATGTACATTTTATTTAATATTAGTTATAAATTTATGATATTATATAGATCCACAATGGATAAATTATAACAATGGTATTTAACAGTAGCATTCGTGGAGCTGTTAAATAATAATAGCTATAATATAATAATTATATTGTAACTATACAATGTTTACTAATTAGACCTATACTTTGTTAGTTAATAACGTGGGTCACAAATATTTTATAAGCTGTAAGTACACACTACAGTAATAGATATTGAGTGGTTGAATTGTAAAAAAATTAGAGAGAGCAAAAAAATATCTTTTAGAAAAATTAAATGTGGCAAGTTGAATTACCTAATTAAAAAAAAATAAGAGAAGACCCTCCCGCTTGATAAATAATAATCATATATCATATATAAATATACATAATAACTCGACTTAACCTTCGACATACATAATGCATTAATAAAAAAAATGTTTAAAAACGTTATCCAAAAACATAATTATTAATTCCCAAGAAATGCTAAAAAACCGAGTCCGAATAGACTATATTATATATAAGTATAATTTCGGTCAACTTTGGTTTTAGTCGTTTGCTATTTCAAAACTTGAAATTACTGGAAAAAAATCTCCAAATCTAATTAAAGCGCTGCTATTACTGTAAATGAATGCAAATGACACTCGCTGCGGGAAACTTAATAACTCAAAAAATGTCTCTAAAGATATATTCAAGTAATCTAGTAAAGACCTCCCATTGCTATCTCATTACAGTGTCGACCATCTGAAATACTGAATACCTTGTAATGCATACACGCTGTATACAAAATTATATTTGCGTAGGCGTGACGATGCATAGTGTGTAAATAAAATATTTTGTTACGAGAACAAAACCCACGATTGTAAGCGGTGGACAATCGAGAATGTATAATATGAATCACAGTAAAACTATTTTCGGCTGTTGTGTGCAGGTGAACGACATCCGGCGACGGCAATAGTAATAATTGTTTAAATCTGAAGATGACACATTATTTATTATTTACACATTATTATACGAATTATGATAATAATTATTGGGATTTGATAAAGGAGCTCTGTATAATATTATAATATCTACCATACTATGACATAAGTGCGTGTGATAATACAGCAGCAGTCGTTTTTGACGATTATGAATCGATGACGTACCTAACCTTGACGATTTTTTTTCGGCAGAAGTTTCACCACTGCCTGCGAGTGTTCATCACAAGGACGGCGCAGCGGCTGCGATGACTGTTATAATAATATAATAGACTACACTACAGCGGAAAAACACACGTCTGTATATGTCGAACATTCCGGGTAATATTATTATACAATGGGTGATACCAAACGTTGGGGGGGGGAGAGATGGATCCCCATATCCTTTTTTATTTTTTTGTTTAGATGGATTTTTATAATTGACTGATAAGTGATGCCTATTTTAATGAAAATTAATATGCAATTGGTATCCCAACGATTATACAAGTGAAAACATATTTTCCGGTGTTTATCAGTCGTTTTTAGCGATTTGTACCTATAGTGTATATTGACGAGTGACGACTGACTTTTATTTTTAATTTTGTTCAAAATGAAACGAAGTAATTCAAGTATACTCAGTTTTTTTTCAAAAAAATTTGGTTTTTCCTAAAAGTATACTTGTATACTTATAGGTGGTGTAGGTGAAGTAGATTAAAGTAAATTGTCTAAGAAGTCTAATTTTAAATTGTTTACGTAACGGTAGTAATCACTTTTTAATAAATTTCCATATCCTCACTAAAAAAATTCTGAGAACGCCTCTGTATTATATTTATGTTTATACACGATAATAGTAACATGAGTCACGCACTCGTAGACACATAGACGTATGAAGGTATTGAAAGTGGCGAAAGAAAGATAGAACGAAAATAATCTATTTAACAAACTCCCTTGATCCAATCCTAAACAGCAATAATACTTAATAATACATTAATACATACCTAGTATAGTATAGTACACGATCACGTCTGACCGTTAGGACGCCAACTACATCGCGTTTGCCTCCACGGAGGGTGGAATTCAGTTAATGTATTGGCGTCACGATTCTATAGAAGAGAAAAAGACTTGCAAAAATTCCGCGTGACATCGAAATTTTCCGGAAAAACAGGTAGGTATAAAGGCATTTTTCTGCAGCGTGTAAAAGAAACACGCTGATTGTGGGTGAATTAAATACTTTAATCATGTAATAGCCATGACAAACATCCCTGTAAGCACTATAAAAGCATTTAAATAAAATAGACATTTAACTCGTACATCGACTTTTTTCGTACAAACGATGTTAATCCTATACAGTATACCTACATAATATAAATTTGTAATATATTGCCAAAAAAATACATAATATTAAATTTATTAGAAATTATACCGAAGAGGCGTTTAGCGTTTATGCGTTTTGTGCTTGATATTATTTAGTACCTAACAGTTTTATTGTTTTTCATAATTTTACACTAAATAACAAAAATTGTTTGTACCAAAATATTTCATCCATTTTACGCTGATAGAGATAACTAAAATAAGAACCTTGAACAATTATTGCAGAAATTATTGTACGTCTTCACTCTTCATGCACCAAATTCACATTTAATTAGATATATTTCAATGTATAATAACATGCATAGGCGTGCGCAGAGTTTCAAGTCAGGAGTAGCGAATATTTTTACCGGCCCATACATGGGGTATTAAGTTAACATTTTTAAGCTCAAAATAAACATTTAACCTTAGCCTAACCTAACCTAACCTTTAAATAAAAATATTTTAAACGATAATCATTGGTTAATCATAGATTGTTTTTGCTYAACACCGGTATACCAWATCAAAATTAAAAATAYATCAAATATCAATAACACATTATTCTTTATTATTATATAATACGGTTATAAAAGTATTATTATGTTATGTAATTATTATATAGTTCGGCCCATACAAATATATTCAAACAGTCCAGAGGCAGCAAGAGCACACCTTGCTGCCCCTGTGCGCACGCCTATGATAACATGCATGATGCATGGGTAAATTACAACTTTTTAAAACTGATTGATACGCCGTTTGCTTATGATGTGCATTTTATCTTTTATTCAATCCCCAATTATAACCACTTTACTTACGATCAGTGTTGGGATTAGATAAGTACTTTTTTATCTAGATAAAGATAAAGATAACAGGACAAAAATGTATCTAGATAAAGATAAAAGATAACGCAATTCAAATTTGAAAAAAAATGAAAGATAAATTATACATTATTATCTAGATAAAAAAAAGATAAATTTTTTCAACACATTGAAATCCAAAATATTTTAAGAGTATATCTTTGATACTACTTAGTACTTCAATATTATATAAACACCGGCTATATGAGTAAATTAAAATTAGCAGTAGACATTATTATTAATAAATAACTAAGGTATAACTGAAAAAACATTTTTTGATAAATATCAAGAAAAAAATACAAATTTTACACGACTCGTAACAATGTAATGTAGGTGTAACCGTGTCCGGGCCCCTAACGAAAATACAGGCGAAAATATCAATAATAAAATATAATAATACCTGTATAATAAATAACATTATTATGAACATAATTTTTTTTTTTTTACTGAAATGACTCGACAATTCAAATTTAAAGTATTGGCTAGTTACGAGGCTAGTTACCATAAAAATAAATTGACAATCAAAATGTGTATTTTATTTTTTTGTATAGAGATGAATGCAACTATTTATCTAGATAAGATAAAAGATAACTTAATAATTATCTAGATAAGTCTCAGCATTGCTTACGAATTACGTAAAAAAAATAAATAGTTTTAGGAAAAAATAACAAAAGTATTTTGAGATTTTTTTTTGATAAACATATAATGGTTGATTTGTAATTTTTGAACTTGAAAACTGTTCGTTTTTTTTTAAACCGATAAATACGACCAAAACATCAATCACAGAGTCTTGCGTATGGGTATATTTTTCAGATTTCATTTTTTGTATTAAGGCTTATAAAACKCGTATTGCAACCTGAACACAAAGCCAATTTTGGAACAATTGCTGCAAAAGTGCAAAGTGCTCATCGTACCTAACCTATACGTGATTTAACGACTTGCGTGTACCGCCGATAGCCGATTGGGTAACAGCTTAAACGGTCTCGTCGTCGGAAAGCACAAACAAAAGGCAACTGACGATGAAAGCAATAGCCAATAATACAATAATGGGTAATAAAAATATTATAATTGTATTATTAGCCATTTATCAGGTAGGTACTATAGGTATAAATATTAAATAAATAACATTCCGAATTATAATGAATTTGTGGTTGTGTATTTATTATAACGATAATTAAATAATAGACTTGAGATATATTTTATCGTGTGATAACAAATAACTTGTTCATAATTCGAACGCGATTTTACGGTAACGACGKTGTCAGTATATAATAATAAATGATCGATGACGACCATATTAATATGATTGTACTATTCTGATAATACTGCGGCGGAAAGCGTGAAAAAAATCTCTAAAATAAAATGTCGTGGTCCCACGTGCGTTGTCGAATTTCTCGTTCTATAAAAATAAAAACCGGCGACGGAGATCTACAGCGCGAACGTGTTTATAAATAGAAACGGCGCACCACAAGTGGACGGACGGAGCGCCGCGACAGTGTCACAATCGTCAAAAAATATTGTCTAGTGCTCCGTATGCGCTATAATTAGTAAATGATAATATCACAATGCCACGCCACTTGTTTAGTTATCGAATTTAATCGAATTATTTTAATCCAATATCACATAATAATATTATTATTATTATTATTATTGATGTAATCGTTGATATTAAGTATACCTAATGGCTAGTACAACACACACGCCTACACATCGGTGTACGCGACCATCGCGGAACGGAAACCTTGAACTCGACCTCGCGCAATAACGGCGACGGATTTCGAACGATCGATGGTCACGAGAATGTCGCGTCATACCGTATAAAAAAATCGTAATTACGCGACGATATTATAGGTATTGTTTCACAATTACGTTCCACTAAAATGGGAATAAATGAAACATAGGTCGACACCGTTGTACCCGGACCCACCTGCTCTTCTGCTATGTACCTGTCGCTAATCGCGCTTTTTGCTTTATTTGCAGTAGACGCACACATATGGCGTGCCCACTCGCCGTGCCGGCGCGCGATACACGGCCGTTGGAAATCCGATTCCGACGACGATCGGTCGCCCACCGTCGCCGCTCGACACGGTTCCATATAAAAACATTAAAACGTTCGATAATCGACAATCGTACCTACCGTCCGTTTTAAAAACGATAAAAATGTCGGTAAGTTCGAGCAGTGCAAACGCTACGGAAAAGACGCTCGGAAATTCGTCCACGTTCATCACTTCTAACTATAACATCCTGTTTACCTATACTGTCTCACTCTACGATAGTAAATTATCGACGACTAAACAATTAAGAGAGGACCGGGTGGGTGCAGCAGCTTAATACTTAAATCATGGCAATAAAATATCATATTATTATCGCGCTTACCTGTCCGAAGAAGAAGTTCCACACGATCAGCAGGTACCTCTTGAGCACGTCGACGAACATGATTCGCGCCGCGTGTGAACCGGTCTCGGCGAAGTAGGCAAATGCTGCGACGATCACTAACAAGTCACTATAATATTATTATGATGTAATAATGATGATATTATGATTATGATAGTTTTACCGTTGCAACTTCAACGGTCGGTACTGCGCGCGCGCGCACTCACGTTCGCCTGTGCAGCTTGTAGTAGACGTCGACGCGGTAACCACGCAAATTATACCCGGTAAGTRGTAACAGGGACGTTGGTAAATCGCACTCGGCGCCGGTTGCAACTACGCTAATAATATGCACTGGTGGTGTTACGGCGGCGGCGGCGGCGGTTAACGCACACTAAACGATGAAATTCCCCTTTGGCGGTCTGACAAACGGCGCGATGACGGTAATTGATAATATTATTAGTTTATTGTTTTACGATCCTAATGACAGCTCTACCACCGACGTTTGTTATTATCACGACAATAATATTTGAATTTCGTTTACGATACCTAAAACACTACAATAACGATAAATCTTACGCACAAACGAAAACACGGACGACACGTAACGCACTGCACCGTCGGCGATGGCGTTGCGCTGCGGACGAACAAAAATGCAACGGGGGGACAGCCGCGAGCCGGCTGCGGTGACGATCGGAACACCGAGTGGCGGGGGACGAGACGAAAAAATTTAAGAAACGTTCGGATGACGTCAAAATATCTCTGCACTCAACACAGCAGTCCGCTACAGGACTGCTATTAATAAATACATGAATGTAACTCACACACCGATTGTGTGTGTAGCCGTGTGGGTATTATATTTTACGCCTCGTCTGTGAAACGGTGGTGGCGATCATTTGGGCGCACGTAAGTTGGAAAATAATTGTCTATTGGGAGCTGTATTTTTGATGAAAAATGTCCCTTTGTAACCACATAATATTGTAGGGATTCTATTTATATATCGAACCGTAGTTATAATCATATCAATATTTATTAAAATGTGTTATTATCTATAATTTTTATTTATTCTTGATGTGTTAATAATTTTAGTATCTCTATCTCAAGCATTTAGCTAAATCATGTTGACATGTTTTCATATTATTTTTTTATCCCCTCAAGTAAAAAGTCACTAGTGGGCGACTTCTTAATCACGAAAATCACAATGTATTAGTGTATTACTCGTATTTCTTTTTTCCCATATACTTATTGTGCTATTATTATAATAATTATTTTATTTGTTAATTATTGATTATTATTATCATCAGTATACCTAGATTGTATATTTATTATAAATATATAGGTATATATATATATATTTTTTTTTTTTGAAATACCTAGGAATCGAAATCCGTTTGAAATATAATATTAAATCGGAAAAGAATGAATTAGATTGGAAACTCAACTGTACGGAAAATATTTTTTTAGGAAGCATATCATTTTGTTGAAACTRTAATAATATACTGCACAGTATTTTGTCGGAATCATAGATATCCGCTCAGAAACTTATTTTCACAGAAAATAGTTCGTTGGACATAATATATAACAAATTGGGTTACGCCGTTACGAGCCATACGGCTCCGAATTTTYACGTTCCAACCAATTATTTTCCTACAAAATATATCCCTCCAAACGTTTTTCTCGAGTTTATTTTTATTTTTACCACTCTTGCGTTTGTYGCACATGACGTGACATATTATATTRACGTCGAAATGTCATTCCGATACGCCGATTACTGTATGTCATATAATGTTATAATAATCTATAATAACTTGCAGTATATTTGATGTCTATGAGGCATAGGTGCAAATAGGGGTTGGGGGGACTTAGGAGGTATTGGCACCCCCAATTTTAAAATGACCAACCTCAAATAATGTTCCTATTTATGTATCAAAAACTTCTTCTTTAGAGAAAAAACTAAAGTGAAAAATGCATAGCTTAAGCACCTTTAATTTTTTTATTGAAATTGTACTTATGCAGCATAGGCTATATGCTGTAGGGATTTAAATTTTTATATAATATTTCTTACTGTGTTGACCCGAAAAATTTTTTTCCGTTCATCTTATATATTTTAGAAAATCAATTAYACTAATTTCTGTAATCGTAATTTTGGTGGAAAATCCTGAGATAAATTGACAAGCGACACGCTGATGCCGTTTTGGCAACATTACATTTGGCCAGAATATAGTTCTTTGTTATAATTCTGAGTAGGATTAATCACCTAATTATTTTATTTTACTTTGTGTATTAACAGTTACTATAAATACCTATTATTTAACATTTATTTGACWGAAGAACATCCCAATTCCAGCCTATTAGTTTTTCAAAATGTTTTCCWGTCAATAAAATAATTAACTCATCCAATCAGACAGAATTAATTATACTATTTAWACTGTATACCATTGAAGTGTTTTAATATACTTATTTTTTTATCATTTKTTTTCYATAAAGGTTATAACTTGTTTAATCATATAATATAAATTCTATTCATTTAAATAAAAATCCATCTATAATATTATATTATATTATGTACTTTTGGTGTACGTGCTCCACTGGATACGATTATCTGCAGTACACCGGATACCATCTCTCTTTTTTTCACCCAGTATGTACATCATATAGTGGAAATGTTTGATCAACGTCCTTTGAGCAAATATTTGAATTTTCCGAAAGACGAYAGACAACCTAATCTATATTATATTAAACCGCAGGTAGTCGTTCTCGAAATTCTCAAGGGAACAGTCATGGCGTTATTATGGGTATTATAGGTAAGTGTAACGGACAGCGGTATAGGTACAACACTCATATTAAAATACCAYTAGATACAACTTTAAGATTAATTAATTAAAATTGCTTTTAACGTTATTAAATAAWCAATTAAAATAATGTAATTTAATAATATTAAAAGTTGCTATAAGCATAAAATGATTTTTAAACGTAACAAAAAAATAATATGTACGCTTATAATAATATATAAATCTCAAAAAGATTTCGGCATCTGAATAAATTTTTGCAGATCATGAACCCCAGTGCCCAACTATCATAAAAAATGTGTTATGTTTTTAATGAAATCAAAATGGTCTAAGATATAAAATGATATATTTTTCTAAACTAAGACATAGCACATAGGTGTTAATGGGAGATTAAAAATGTTTATAACATGTACTAAATGACACTGCATAGGTCCCCTTTTTTGACAGTTATATTACCTAACTATTACTTGATAAGTTATAGTGCTATACAATTATGATGTAACTGYAGTTACAACATAATCTGCTAATTAACTTAGATCATATTTTTTAATAGCAGTTATAAATTGATGAAGATTTTGATTATGGCGATTTGAAAGAGTCAAAATTGTAAATATTAAATTTAATTATTTTCAATAATTTAACAAAACAATTTATCAATTCTTAATATAAGTAAAATTGTCTTTCTATAATAATATTATGCTGTATTTTGTGCAGTGTTTGATGCGTAATTCACAGGGGCGCCCATATATAAGTAACATAATTGTGGGGAGGGGGAGTAAAGTAAAAAATCTTTGATAAAACAGTAGTTACTATTTTTTTTTTTTACAATTTATTAAACCATAAAACATTCATATCAACTATTAACTAAAAAAACTAAAAGGGCAGTGATGGTCGGGTGGTACCCCGGCACACCCCTGTGGATGAAAATGACAATACGTGAAAACGTTCCTGTCGTTCCTTATTATTTCGAAAAATAAATAAATTTTGACATTAGACATATTTTATACTTGAAAACATTGTAAATTACATTTTAATGTTCAATTTAATCATAATTTATGGCATTTTGATTATCATCCACAAGTACATTTTGCAATTCCGGTACACCGCGGCGACACGGAGATGTAATAAGAGGTTATGAATAAGTACTGGGTAATGAKATGGGCACTCAAGTATTTTCTATTGAAGATTACAATATTATAATACACGACCAAATACGTACATTATTTTCAACGGCCTTACCTATTTGTTTTAATTAATTGTATATTATCAGTTAGTGTTAATTATATCCCGCGAGTCACCATGTACTTCGCGAGTACCTAAATTAAGTTTACGTRCAACACCACATTAGGCATGGAGTTAAATAGTTAGTCATTAAATTGTACTGTCTTCTACAGTACCAAATCGAAAAAAAAATTTAATTATCAAAAAAAAACCCCATTCAGTGCTCCACATGACACATTTTATACAGTAGAGTGCAGGTACTCACATTTATTACAAAATAACTTACCTAGTTTTTATCTGTTTAAATATACAATTTAAAAAAATATGCATTATGAATATTATATATTTTTAAGCTTAAAGATTTCAACAAGAACTGTATATTATATGAGAAACATTGCATTCAATTTTAAAGATTTATCTATAAAAAGTGAACATTATTACTAACTACACATTATTTGTAAATTTTGGTAGGTAGTTTTAGCGAATATTGTCAAAATTTGAACTTAAAATGCCTTTAAGGAAAAAATGTGCAATATATGTGTTACAGTTAAAGTGTTGACTTCCGTTATTTTATGAAATAACTATAAGTAATACAWRAATTGCCTACGAATATTAATTAAARTATGAAATTATACTCTGACTAGTTTTTCATGGAAAATCTAGTTATTCTATACAATTTTAGTAAAATATACGTTAAAATATATAGAACACATTTAAATTTAAAATATATTATCCTTATCCTCCTTAACAGCTGGCTTCACTTTCTCACCTGAAAAATCACAATGCACAGTGTTCACCCGTAAGCGAAATCAAAACTCTATAAACATAAAAATGGGTGATTACCATTTAATAAATAATAATACAATTAAAATACTCGGCATTACTTTCGACAACAATTGTTCCTGGACCCACCWCATCAACACCTTGAAAAAATCAATCTCTCCACGTCTCAATATTATAAAAATGTTATTCCACACATCATGGGGCTCCAAAACTCATGTTCTATTAACAATATACAAGTCACTTATACTTTCTAGACTCGACTACGGAGCCTTCATTTGGACAACGGCACATAAATCAATATTAAAAAAACTTGATACAATCCACAACTCGGATCTTCGTATGTCAATCGGCGCTTACCGTTCAAGTCCAATACCCAGTATCTATAATCTTGCCAATACACATCCTCTAGACATAAGAAGACTCAAATTAACATTGAATCATGAATTAAAATTAGCAAGTACCCTTCCCACTCTTGACTTCAAACCATTATTTCAATTACTGCCAYCACTACTCCAGGAGAACAAACTTGATATGTCTAAATTACTCACTATTGCCCCCTCCCTGACATCCCAATGGAAAAATCTCATCGAAGCCAACACTAATCTCTCCATATTCAAAAAAGGCGACACACCCTCTGCTATCTTCAAAAACGAATATTTTCACACAATACAAAATATCACAAGTGAAAAAATGTACACGGATGCTTCCAAAAGCCTAGACGGTGTCGGCGCTGCAGTCATTTGGAATGAAGCGAAATTCTTATATAAACTTCYTAACTCTTGCTCAGTTTTCACAGCCGAATCAATAGCCATTTTAAAAGCACCGAGATAATATCCGATCATCACTTACAAGACACCATTATCTTCACYGACTC